AGCCAGAGTGCAGCGCTATTACAAAGGATTCAAAGGTAAAAGAGTGCCATTTGCTTGTAACCTTCAATGATGCTGTCCAACAGACAGTCAGACAGTCGATGTTTAGCCTGTTTGGGCCGACAGTCAGACAGTCGATGTCGGTGTTTAGCCTGTTTGGGCAGACAGTCAGACAGTCGATGTCGGTGTTTAGCCTGTTTGGGAAGACAGTCAGACAATCGATGTCAGTGTTTAGCCTGTTTAGGCAGACAGTCAGACAGTCGATGTCGGTGTTTAGCCTGTTTGGGAAGACAGTCAGACAGTCGATGTCGGTGTTTAGCCTGTTTAGGCAGACAGTCAGACAGTCGATGTCGGTGTTTAGCCTGTTTGGGAAGACAGTCAGACAGTCGATGTCAGTGTTTAGCCTGTTTGGGCAGACAGTCAGACAGTCGATGTCGGTGTTTAGCCTGTTGGGGAAGACAGTCAGACAATCGATGTCAGTGTTTAGCCTGTTTAGGCAGACAGTCAGACAGTCGATGTCGGTGTTTAGCCTGTTTGGGAAGACAGTCAGACAGTCGATGTCGGTGTTTAGCCTGTTTAGGCAGACAGTCAGACAGTCGATGTCGGTGTTTCGACTGTTTCGGAAGACAGTCAGACAGTCGATGTCGGTGTTTAGCCTGTTTAGGCAGACAGTCAGACAGTCGATGTCGGTGTTTCGACTGTTTCGGAAGACAGTCAGACAGTAGATGTCGGTGTTTAGCCTGTTTGGCCAAACGGTCAGACTGTGGATGTTTAGCCTGTTTCGCAAGTCAGTCAGACAGTCGATGTTGGTGTTTAGCCTGTTTGGCCAGACAGTCAGACAGTCGATGTTGGTGTTTAGCCTGTTTAGACAGACGATCAGACAGTCGATGTTTAGCCTGTTTCGCCAATCAGTCAGTCAGACAGTCGATGTTGGTGTTTAGCCCGTTTAGACAGACGATCAGACAGTCGATGTTTAGCCTGTTTCGCCAGTCAGTCAGTCAGACAGTCGATGTTGGTGTTTAGCCTGTTTGGCCAGACGGTCAGACTGTGGATGTCGGTGATGAACCTGTTTGGCCAGACGGTCAGACTGTGGATGTCGGTGTTGAGCCTGTTTGGCCAGACGGTCAGACTGTGGATGTCGGTGTTGAGCCTGTTTGGCCAGACGGTCAGACTGTGGTTGTCGGTGTTGAGCCTGTTCGGCCAGACAGAGGACCTCCTGGAGGTGATGGGTAGTGGAGTTGGTATTGGTTACCGGTATCTCTCCATGTATCGGTTTCTATAAGGAGCCTGGGCCGAGCCTGCTGTGGGGGATTCATGTTAATGTATATATCAATGGACATAAATCTCCTCGGCAACCAGTGGAGCGGCGTGTCGGCTTTCACGTGCACTGACCCGTGACCTGAACCCGGCGAGAAGGAGGGACTTGTCGTAACGCTCTGCTTGAAACTGTCAACACGTGTTTGTTGGCCGCTGCGACGTCCGTATGGCAGGCACTTTAACATGGCCACGTTTTACACTCATGAAGGTAAACACTGGTCACTGGAAGCGTTGAAGCATGATAACAGGATTAGATACAACAGCAGCACTGAACAGGCGGGTGGGTGAACGCGTTTGAGTCCCACATTTCCCTGAGTGAGTGTGTGATTAAGGCTTTACGCCGCTTTCATCAATATTCCAGCAATATCACGGCGGGGGACATCAGAAATGGGCATCACACAATGTACCCATGTGGGAATCGAACCTTGACCTTCGGCGTGAAAAGCGAACGCTTAAACCACTAGGCTACCCCACCACCCCTCCTACCCCTGTCTATATACTTGGTTTGTCAGCACCAGATCTATCTCGGAGTGGTTTTACCAAAGTTGTAAATCTCTCCGAACTACCCCTTTTTGCTCTTGTAATAACTGAAAAACGACACGAAGCGGCGTCAAAGTGAGTGAGTTGGGTTTAATGCCGCTTTGAACAATATTCCCGTCATATCACGGCGAGTCAGCTTATTGTGGGAGGAAAGCCCGAAGTGATGCAGGTCTTAGACGTTTACCACTTCGGTGAAACCCACGAACACGGGTAAGGTGCTGACAAACTTAAAAACAAAATCGGAGCGAACCGGGATTCGAACCCACTATCAAAGATTGGTGTTAAAACCCAATTAACACGCTCGGTCTTGGGCAAGTCAGCATCTGATACAGAATCTCTTTAAAACTGGGGGACACGGGTGGCCCAGTCGTCTAAGGCGCCGCGATTCGCTGTGCAGAGTCGCGTCCCTTGGGCACGCCAGAAACCTATGATTGTGGGTTCACCCCGATTATGTTTCTAGGTTTGTCAGCACCATACCCATGCTCGTGGGTTTCACCGAAGTGGTAAACGTCTTAGACCTGCATCACTTCGGGCTTTCCTCCCACATTAAGCTGACACGCCGCGATATGACTGGAATACTGTTAAAAGCGGCGTTAAACCCAACTCACTCACTCACTCACTCACTTTAAAACTGTAGGGGAAAATTATAACATGTCATGTGCCGGTGATGAGATAGAATTTCTACAAGTTTTCCATCCAACAAATACAACTTGTCAGGGGATTTACTGTTTAAATCAGTATCATAAATAGCAGCGTAAAGCGTCATGTTTGAAGCTGAAAATGAACATTGTAGGTATGAAATCGCGCTGAGTCACCATTATATCCCAGAATGCTCCGCCGCACCAACAGAATAATAAATCATAGCCAAGAAGGATTCGCTTGATAATGATAAACTCATGATGGAGCCAGTATAGTTTAGAAGCTAAGCAATTTGTTTTGGTGATTTTTAAAATAAGAAAATACACTCAACTCATGTGCATATACTGAACAAAAAAAAGAAATGGGACATGAATATTTTTGTGGATATTTTGTGATGAAGACTGAACGCATCTTTATAAGAAGAATCCCCAAAAATAGTCATGTTCTCTTTTTGTCTATTTCAGTATATTTCCAGGTATATGCACTCAAAAATATTCAAACTGTTACCGTACAGGAAACTTTGTAACGCGTTGGTGGCAGAACTTCTGCTGATCATCATTCTCCCCTGGGCCCCGTTTCACAAAGCGATCGTAGCGTTAATCCTATGAAAGTACGGGAGTTACGATCACCTTATTACGAAGTTAACTTTGTGGAACGGGGCCATTGCTTATAACCTCTTACTTGTTCAGACATGGCGTGACCTCATTCCAGCTACTTAAGACGGAAACCGATATACGTGTTATCTATAAGTGTGCATATCGATTATCGATATTTTACTACCACGCTTATAGTTGATCAGTCCGACAGAATATTCAGACATTTTGTTGCAAGGTTTGACAAGACCTCAAATATGATTAGTCGTGACGAGAGATGTACATTTGTACATATTGGTATTTTGGTTTGTGAGTTGACAGGACAATGCAACATCAACGCCCAACCCCCCACTCTATATACACAACCATAAACACATTCTACCAGTTCTGGTAATGTCAATGTCTGTATGTGATATATCACATCGTAAATTTCTCTGCCGCGACAGTTAAGGACCTTCTTATGTAGCTAAATGAGACTAGTTGTCAAGTTACCCGTACTCGTTGAGAGAACAGAGGGGTGTTATCAGATCACTGAAGAACCACAAAACCCTGGTACCTACAACACCAATGTCAAGCAGTTTCTAAAATATCGTACTTTCCTAACAGCTGGTTATAATGACACTGATAACCTGACATGAACGTGGGGAATTAACATTCCATTATGTTAATTTCTCGACAGCTGTTTTCTGCGATGTCTGATAGTGATTAAATGTAGATATTCCGATAATGGAATATGCAATATTAGAGGTCATTTTACTGTATAGGAAAACAGTGAGGACAGAGTTAAACAGAATACATATAACTAGATTTGTAGACTGTTACACTACGGACATGTTCGAGTGGCGCAGTCGTCTTTCGCGCTGCATAGCGCCGTGCAGAATTGCGTCCATTGGACACACCAAGAACCTGTTAGTGCGTTCGCGTCACAATTCGCCGTCAACGTCAATTGATGTTTAATATTCTTCCTTTCTTATGTTTAACAATTTGTATGACATTCAAATAATGAATCTTTTATCCGTAGTGTGGACCTTCGATAGAATGTTAAAATACGCAGTCGTCGTTGCATAGCGATAGTCACATATTTGCATATACAGTAAACCATGGTTATAACGAACTCGAAGGGACCACTAATTTTAGTTCGTAATAACCGTAGTTCGTTATAAGCATATATACGACATTTATACAACAAATGGTCGGGACTGAAAATTAAGTTCGTTATATCAGTCAGTTCGTTAAATGCGTGTTGTTTATAACCGTAGTTAACTGTATATTATAAAGTGTTCGGGTTTACAAAGACAATACATGAAAGCTGACAAAGTACGTCATGGTTTCCATGCCATGGAACTCGCCTGGTCACACTGAGTGACCTGGCTACCATCGTGCAAAGCGGTGTGGATAGTGTCTCATGATATCAACCACTAGCTTATTTGGTCAAAATTCGAATTGAGGCCGCCGTGATAAGCTGCAATATTGCTGACGGCTGCGATCAACCAACAACCCAATCAATCCATCAATTAATCGATCGATCGATTCAATCTAAATTTCTACATTGAAGAGGCCAGCGGCCTAAAGTGCATTGATAATCTTGCAAAATATCACTGCTAGAAAATGTATCAGCCATTGGGATGGACAGAGTAATATTCTGATATACTTATTTCTTATCGATGCATAAAATGATAATGATACTTATCATCAGCAGACAAATTCTTTCTCTACGAATGTTTGTATATCGACCAGTTTAAAAAGAGATCAGTAATGTTCACTGTATATATGCGACTTCTGTATCCAACATCTTTGTGGTAGTGATATGTGCAATATGTGCAATATATATGCACTATACATGCACAACACATGCACTATACATGCGATATACATGTCCTACACATGGACTACATTGGTTGTGCTATGTTGCAGGATGGAGCTGGTTTGGCACGGGGAGTTCGACCGCCTGTTCTCCCAGTACTTCCCCCACCAGTGGTACCTGGTCCCCACCTTCTACCCGCCCAGTGAACGATGGAGGACGTTCAAGGATAGCGCTAAAGTGCGATTTTCCTGTCAAGTGAGTACCGCTCAGCATCAGCTGTTTTTGCATCATTGTTTCCATAGAAACTCTTTAACCCTTATTTAGTTTTCCTGGGAGGGTACTTCATCAATGGCGTAGAAATTGGATCATGAATCCACCAAACCTTTATCCTGCGGTAGCATATAGTGGAATATCGTCTTGGTCAGATAAAAATTCAACTGCTGGTAAAAAGGACCAACGTTTCAAGAAACTGCTTGATATGGTCTTTATGAGGCTTAAATGGTGTTGGTCCACAATGACAACTGAGAATGAAAATACTTGAATGGTTGATCAACCGTGGATGACCACTGCGAACTGATTGGAGGCATGTCATGGTACCAAGTGCTCATGCTGTTGATCACCGGTTTACCTGACACAGGTGCGACCCCTTTGCGGACTGTCGTAATATGTATAGTAGTAATATTGCTGACGTCAGCTTCTGTACACTCCTGCATAACGATGTATTGGGTTGTATAATTTTAAGGATAGTTATCTGATGTTCTCCCTGTTGTTCAGGCCAGGAGCTACCACACATGCACTGTCATTACGATGGTATCTGGCAGCAGAATGATAAAACACACCACAAACCATAGTCATGTTTGAAAGCTGGCAACATATGGTGCCTCTATAATTGGATGGCATCATGCATGAGCGGTATATCGCCGAATATTAAATCATGTTAAAAACAAGGCTGTTTCCTGTGAGTGCGTGGGCGAGTGGGTGGGTGGCATTTGAGTGAGTGGTTGAATATAGTTTTACGCCGCTTTTAGCCATGTTCCAGCTATATTAATATCACGGCGAAGGGCACCAGAAATGGGCTTCACACATTGTACCCATTCGGGAATCGAACCCGGGTCTTCAGCGTGACAAACGAACGCTTTAACCACAAGGCTAGGTGAGTGGTTGAGTGAGTGAGTGGGATTTAGGCAGGTTTCAACGGTATTTTGGTTATATCACGACTCTTAGCTCACCGTGGATGACCAGTTAACCATGGAGGGACGCAGCTCTGCACAGCGAATTGTGGCGCTATTCAGCCGCTCGAGATAATCCAAGCACAACATCAATCACACGTCACTGGGATGGCTGGTGATGGTTCCATTCAGCCAAGCGTCTCACAACGATACCACTATCATAAAGTACATCATTATTATTATTAATGTGAGAGAGATTTCAAAAGATGCCAGCTTGACAGTGCAACTTTGACCAAATCACCGTAGATCAACCAGATTACCTGACCACCCGGGGGAAGGGTTAACCCTATCTACGCCAGAGACCTAAACCAAATGTTGTTTCCTCATTTCAAATCCACACCAAAAACGTTTACTTATTTACAATTTACTACAAGTGTCGTTTACTTCGTTACACCTCACTACAAATGTTGTTTACTTATTCACACCTTACTTCAATGTTGTTTACTTATTTACACCTTACCTAAATGTTTATTTATTTACACCTCACTATACAGGTTTTTTACTTATTTACACCTCACTACACATGTTTTTTACTTATTTACACCTCACTACACATGTTTTTTACTTATTTACACCTCACTACACATGTTTTTTTACTTATTTACACCTCACTACACATGTTTTTTTACTTATTTACACCTCACTACACATTTCTTTTACTTATTTACACCTCACTACGCGTTTTGCTTTACAAATTTACACCTCACTACATAGTTTTTTTACTTATTTACACCTCACTACACGTTTGTTTTACTTATTTACACCTCACTACACACGTTTTTTTACTTATTTACACCTCACTACACATGTTTTTTACTTATTTACACCTCACTACGCGTTTTGCTTTACATGTTTACACCTCACTACAAAGTTTTTTTACTTATTTACACCTCACTACACGTTTGTTTTACTTATTTACACCTCACTACACACGTTTTTTACTTATTTACACCTCACAACACGTGTCTTTTACTAATTTACACCTCACTACACGTGTTGTTTACTTATTGACCCCTTACTACAATTATTATTTTACTAACACCTCACTATAAATATTCTTTACTAAATTTCCCCTTTCTACAGAAGTTGCCCACCTATTTACTCCTAACTACAAATATTGTCAAGTTTTTATATCACCTGTTTAACACCTGTATCGGTAAGCTGGGTATTTATACAGACAATCACCTTTGCGTATTTTTATTCTTATGTATATCACTGTCGGTGGACAAAACTAGAGGCGTGAGGAATACTAGTATATCTCAGGCGAGTGACACACTATACACATCCGCGTCTCGCTCATAGGCCCCCTCACGGGGACATTTTGACACAATATATTGAAAGAGTTTAAAATACCAGGATGAATTTGTTTTTACAAATGGGTAGTTTATCTTGTTAAACGATAGGATTAGCTCTATGTACGCGTGTATTCCTTCTAAACAGGGGACACCCGTCGTCTAAGGCGCCGCAATTCGCTGTACAAAGTTGCGTCCCTTGGGCACGCCTGAAATATATGATCGTGGGTTCGAATCCCGGTTCGACCCGACTTGTTTTTAGGTTTGTCAGCGTTTTATCCGTGCTTGTGGGTTTTGCCAAAAGTGTAAATGATATCACATCGGGTTTTTTGTAATGTACGTGCACGAATATGGCTCATTTGGCACGTGCGTGCTCTACAAATACACGCGCATATATTGTCTCAGTATTATTTCCGAATAAGCCGATATTTCTATTATGTTAAGCAGGACATGAAGATGCAAATTGTGGATCGGTTGTCAACAATGGCGTCAAAACTTGGATGAATGTCCATACCTGCCTAATAACATATCAGATGCTTGTTAAACCTTGCTTGTTTTGCCGGGCAAAAGAAAGTATATAGTTTTGCACTATGGCAGTATCTATCGCTGTAGTACGAGGTGGGACCCGTGAAGATCCGGGGTAGAATAGGTCTTCAGCATCCCATGTTTGCCGTAAAAGGCGACTATGCTTGTCGTAAGAGGCAACTAACGGGATCGGGTGGTCAGGTTCGCTGATGTGGTTGATACATGTCATCGTATCTCAATTGCGTGGATCGATGCTCATGATGTAAACCACTGGATTGTCTGGTCCAGACTCGATTATTTACAGACCGCCGTCATATTGCTGGAATATTGTTGAGTGCGGCGTTAAACAACAAACAAACAAACAAACAAACAAATAGTACGAGGTGGATATTCACAGTAGTGGAAAAAATAAACCCATGTTTTACGGTGGCTAAAACTGAAAAAAAAATAAAATTGATATTCAGTGGTGATGTATTTTAATACGGGTATCGTGGTTGTGTTTTTGGACCTAAAGTTTGCAATGTTTGGGTGTCTGTTTTGATAACGTTTGTAATTTTTTTGTAAAATTCAATTTCCAAGTGAATTTTGGCTTGGCAGTGTATCTTCCATGTGGTAGTCCTGCGGTTTAAGTGTCAGCTATTTAATAACAGGTACGAGTTCAAATCCCATGTGTACACATTTTATGTCGATTCTTCGCGACCCCTGCAAAGGTATAGATGGGAAATTGCGACATGGCGATGCATATATAATTTTATTCAGTTATGTATATTTAAATCTTTTAGCAATACAGCCATAATATCGCTAAAGAATACGATGCGTGTAGGTACCGGTGAACCTATGTTGCGTCGCGCGCTGGCTGTACATAGCAGCCGAGTTTTACAACTAAAGATGATTTTCTCTTTCCTTGTAAAAATGTTAAGTCGGAAAATATATTCGTGCTGAGGCCAGAGGTGTGTTGACGAGATACGAGATTATCTGTTCCCGGTGTTTACCCTCGTGAGAAAGGAAGGATTAGCCGAAGGACAAATACCTAACACCAGACTGACAAATAGCCCGACAGTTGAGAGGTCTATTCGTGCAGAGACATGCAGGTGTCGACCACCGAAACCCTTCAGCACAGCGGCGTCATACCCAACTCACTCACTCACTCACTTCAAAGTCTTTTTAAAGGATAAGTATTCCTTGATTCATTACCATTTAAAAACCTAAGGAATAATTGCAACATTCATTCATTTTGTATTATTTCCCTAAGAAAGTTTTCAAAAGTTGTTTTTTTTTAATTTACGTTTTTCTCTCATTTGTATTTGTTACCTTCATCTGAAAGATTTAATCTCTTTTTAACATTTAAGAAAGTATTTTCAAAAACAACTGGTGATATGCATAAAATATGAAGTTTGTCGCTGATTACTTTCTTAACCCCCCGTCGGAATAGAGTAGAATATATTCCCGGTATCTCATTCTTGTCTAAAAGCCGATTAATATGGATCGTGTTGCTGCAATGTCCGACTCATAGTGGTCCCATGGATTGTTGTTCATGCCATCAACCACTGATTTGTCTTGGTTACCTACAGTTGGTTACCTGTATTTGCAGCGGCGTTAAACAACCTGCACTTACTGTCTTATCTAAATCATATAACCCATCAGACGCAATGGCACGCCAGCTAATGTGTTCACTTGGTTCGCATAACACCGAGTTTGGTTCCCAACATAATGTTGAACTGGTTGATGTCCCTGCTATTTGGTTTCAATACTGCCAAAAAGGCTGATTCACCGAAACTACATTCTCTTTTACCACTGTTACTCCCTCATCAAACTGACCGCCTCCGTGGTCTAGTGGTAGAGCGTCCGCCCGGAGAGCGGAAGGTCCGGGGTTCGATCCTCGGCCGCGTCATACCAAAAGACGTTCAAAGATGGTACTTGTTGTTACCCTGTCTGGCGCTCGGCATTTAGGGGCTAAAACAAGGACTGGTCGGCTTGGAGTCTATATACTGTGTCTGAGTGGGGTATTCATGTTAAACTGCGGCATGGTATCTCAGTGTGCTAGCACTATAAATCGGCATCAGTCCGGACTAGTACAAGCAGCCACACACACACACACACACGTACATGCACGTCGCTATATAAGTGCAATAATCTTGGACGCGACGTTAAACCCACTTTTACCTCACATCACCTCACCCTCACCCTCAGCATAGGTCAACGTGTTCTA